GAAAGTTTACAGAACAAATTGGTTTTCTGTTCAACAATCTATATACATTCTGTTTTGTGATATTTTCTGCAATCCCCATCATATAACAGCATTCTTCCCACTTCCTCCCTGTGCCCACTCCTTCCCTTTGTCCTTCCTTCCCATCTCCTCCTGCCTTCCTAGCTCTATCCCTGGGCAAACACTGTCCGATCTCATATGCTTAGTTGTGTAATTAGCATATACCCTCCTGATAATACTGTTCACCTTATAGGCCTGTCTTACTGTTTGGCTGACAATTGAGTCACAGGGTTTAAATTGAAGGTGTCAAAGGGACAAAGTCTTGGGGGTTCTACCAGTCTTCTTCAGGCCAGTAAGCCTGGTCTTTTTTTGAGTTTTGTTCCACATTTTTCCCCATTCTATCTGGGACCTCTTATTGTTTTCCTTTTCAGAACAATCAGCAGTAGTAGCTGGCACCATCTAGTTCTTCTGGTCTCAGGGTCATGGAGGCTGGGGTTCACGTGCTCCATTAGTCCTTTGGACTAATTATTTACTGTATCTTTGATTTTCTTCACTCTCTTTGCTCTGGACAGGGAGAGACCAATAGTTACATTTTAGGTGGTCGCTCACAAGCTTTTAAGACTCTGGTTGCTACTCACCAGAGTAGGATGTACATACAACCGTGTCTTTGTGGACTGTGTTATGCTGAGACTATGATCCTGATCCTCCCTACCCAATGACTCATTCCCTCGAGGTGTTTGATTATGACTAAAATGTTTCCGTAACTTTGTCCACTTTATGCTTCACTACATTCATGGATATATTTGCAGCACATATAAATGCATAGGTGGTAATAGCCTCTGTTAAACCTGTATGCATTCACTTTCCCATCCCTGTTCAGATTGAGTGTCTCTCTGCATTCACTCAGAAATTATTGTAATTAATGTTATTGCAAGATTGTGTTTGTAGTAGTATTCACCTTTGTTGCCTTTAACTCTTGTGCTCCTTCCTGTGACTTCCACTGCCTTGATCATTTTGTGCTGACCTCCACCTTATTGTACATTGCCTTTCCCTTCACCCAAGTTAATACATGTCCACCCTCTACTTGATGATTGTTCCCCCCCCCATCCCTGGTAAACTTCAAAGAATGATTCTTTTTATATGTAAACCTTTTCTTAAGCTTTTACAGTAGTAATCTCATACAGTAATTGTCCTTTTGTGATAGAATAATTTTATTCAGCATAATGTCCACTAGGTTCGTCCATGTTGAGAAAACTTGTAGATTCATTGTTATTCTTTCATTGCCTAGTATTCCATTATGTGTATATACCATAGTTTGGTATTCATCCATTGATGGACACTTAGGTGATTTCCATCTTTTTTGCTGTTGTGAGTATTGCTGCGATAAACATGGGTGTGCATATATATCTGTTTAGGTCACAGCTCTTACTTTTCTAGGATATATACTTAGTAGTGGGATTGCTGGATCATGTGGTATTTCTATTTCCAACTTTCCACAGTGGTTGTACCATTTTGCAATCATACCCACAGTGTATGAGTGTTTCAGTCTCTCCACACCCTTGCCAGCATTTGTTGTTTTCTGTTTTCTTGAACTTTGCTATTAATGCTGGAGTGAGATGATATCTCATTGTTGTTTTGATTTGCATTTCTCTAATGGCTGATGATCATGAACATTTCTTCATGTATTGGTTAGCCACCTGAATGTCTTCTTTGGTAAAGTATCTGTTCATGTCCTCTGCCCATTTTTAAATTGGATTATTTGTCTTTTTCTTGTTGATGTCTGGAAGTTGTCTATAAATGTTGGAGATTGGTCCCTTGTCCAATGTGTCGTTGCCAAAAAAAATTTTCTCAGTGTGCAGGTTCTCTTTTACTCTTTTGACAAAGTCTTTTGATGCACATAAGTGTTTAATTCTTAGGAGGAGGTCTCAGTTGTTTACTTTGTCTTCTGTTGTTTGTGTGTTTTTTAGTTATGTTTCATAATGTATTTATACCATGTGTTAGGGTCCCTGAGTTTGCCCCTATTTTTTCAATGATGATCTTTATGATTTGGGGTTTTACTTAGGTCTTTGATCCATCATGAGTTAGTTTTTTAAATGGTGTAAGATATGGATCCTGTTTAATTTTTCTGCAAATGGATGTCTAGTTTTGCCAACACCATTTGTTAAGATACTGTCAATTTTCCCCATTTAAAGGGTTTTGGCCCTTTGTCAAAAATTTGCTTCTGGGTTTTCAGTTCTGATCCATTGGTCTATGTGTGTGTCTTTGTACCTATACCAGTCTGTTTTGACTACTGTGGTTGTATAGTAGGTTTGGAGATTGAGAAGCATGAGCCCACCTACTTTCTTCTTCTTTAGTAGTGTTTTGCTTATTCCCTTATTTATAGTGAGATGATTTGTCCTTTGGCTGCTTTCAAGATACTCACTTTATCTTTCATTTTTAGCTCTTTGAAAATGATGTCTGGTGGTAGATTTTTTCAACACCATACCTGACCCTTCTCTGTTGAGACTATTATAACATAAATGTTAGAGCTTTTGATACTGTCCCTAATGTCCCTGAACCTCTTTTCATTTGTTTTCAGTCTCTTCTCTCTGTTGTTTAAACTGGATAATTTCTATTGTTCTGTCTTTAGATACCCTGAAATCACAAATTAATTAATTAATTAATTAATTACCAAGTTTTTCTCTGTCATCTCCATTCTGCTATTGAACTCATCCAGTTACTTTTTTATTTCAGTTATTTTAGTTTTCACTTCTACAATTTCCATTTGGATCTCCTTTATATCTTTTATTTCTTTGCTGAGACTTTTTCTTCTTTTAATGTTTCTATTTATTTTTCTTCATTGTTATAGACTTCATTAAAGGACAGAAATGTTTGTGAACATAGATATTAGCTAGCTCATACTATGGTTCACCCATGTCATGTTGGTATCTCTTGTTTGCCATGAAGACATCAGATTCATGATTTCTCTTGGGAATTGTAATGATTTCTGTGCTTCATTTCTCCTGACTTTTATATATGTATGTGTGTGTGTGTCTGTGTGTGTGTTTGTATATATGTTTTGACACAGTCTCAAAAATTATCCTGAGCCCCTTGGGAGTAAGTTGCCAGCCAGAAACCCCATCGTCCTCTAATACTTCAATCTGTATTCCTTTCAAAGAAGGACATTTTCCTATATAACCACAATACAACCACCAACATCAAGAAAGTAACACTGATTGATGCATTACTACTATCTAATCCCCAGAAGCCATTTAAGTTCTGTCAAATCGAACCAAACCCATTGCCATCGAGTTGATTCCAACATAGAGCAACTCTACAGGACAGATAGAACTGACCCATAGGGTTTCCAAGGCTGTAAATCTTTATGGAAGCAGATCGCCTCATCTTTCTGTGGAGCAGATAGTGGATTTGAACTGCTGATCTTTTGTTTAGCTACTGAATGCCTTTACCACTGTGCCTCTAGAGCTCCTTTAAGTTCTACCACTTGTGCTAATAATTTCCTTTGTAGCACAAAGGATGTAACTTAGCATCACTTGTTGCATTTATCTGTCATGTTTCTTTAGTCTCTGTCCTTAGTTTGGAACAGGTCCTCCAAGTTTTTCTTTGACTTTTATGAGTGATAATTTTGAAGATTATTGTCCAGTCATTTTGTAGTATGCCCCTCAGTTGGGACTTAAGTGTCCTCATGATTTGGTTTGTCTATTCATGCTACGTTCTTCTCAGTACAACTTCCCTGGTGACACATGAAGTCAGGGTGTCCAGTTACTGATGTTCACTTTGATCACTGCCAGACTTTTCTATTGTAACGTTACTCTTTCTCCTTTTGTAATTAATAAAAACTTTTATTTATTAATTTCTTACTAATTTTGACTTAATCATGTCTACAAAATAGTTCTGGTTAGCAGTCAAATGCCTTAGGCACTATGCCACCAGAGATCCTAATAAATATTTGGGAACTTTATATAAATACTCTGATCCTTACCAAATTATTTATTTGTTTATTATCACAGTGAACTTATGGTTTCCTATTTTATTCAAAAGGCTATAATGCGTTACCATCATTATTTATTTTAATGCTCAAATTTATTTAATGCTCAGGCTTGACTAGTTGGAAGGAAGTCTGGTGGTGCTGTGGTTAAGGCATTGGGCTACTAACCAGAAGTTTTGTGGTTTGAACCCACTAGTAGCTCCATGGGAGAAAGATGAAGCAATCTGCCTCCATAAAGATTGACAGCCTTAGAAACCCTATAGGGGGTTGCTGTGAGAATCAACTCAATGGCAGTAAGTTTGGTTTTGATTTTGACTAGTTGGGGGCCTCCTCAAGTTGGCTTCTGTCTTCTTTTGACATGCCCTTCTTAGCCTTTGAACAATTTTTGCTAATTGGGCACATCAAGATATTCCAGGCTTATCTTTTCCAGCTCCAGCTCTGGAACCAGTCCTTTATCCAAGATGTTTTGGGTTCTTGTAGAGGGGAATGGTATTTAGAAGATCTGGGCACTTTCCTGCCCTTTTTTTGTTGTCATTATTTTTCCTTTTGTCCTATGACAAGAGTTTACTTTAAAACTACAAACTACTGTCTTGTGCTAGTTTTCCTCATGTGGATATTTGTCACCGTACTCCACGAATTGGAGGTGGTTTGTTACAGGGGAAGGGCCACTGAGTGAGTGGAACTGTGTTGAGTATCTAGACCATTCCCCTTTGGCAGGAACCAGAAGTCTGTCTTTGACAGAGCCTCTTGCCTTCTCTGGCCTGGTGCTTCAGCTACTTCTGCCAATGGTACATTCCGTAGTTGTTGACTCAGAAATACTGCAAAAACAAAACAAAACAAAACAAAAACTATGTTCAGGGCACTGTTAGATCCTTGTTTAGTTAGGCAGTGTATGGATATGAATACTCATGTACACGGGTATAAACATAAATATATGCATGTATGCGTTCTAGAATTTTTGGCTCCTTTCAGTTTGTCTTCTTCATTTCTGACTTTTATTTCACTGTTAACACAGATGCTAAACAAAGGTGCAGATTCACAGACTGAGGGAGAAAGCAGCCACCCATCCATGGACTTGTTCAAGGCCATCTTTGCCAGCTCCTCAGATGAAAATGTCTCATCTTCTGAGGATGAGCAAGGCGACAGTGAGGATGATCAGGGGGTTGTTGGGGAGGCTGACTTCAAGCATTCCAAAGACGCTGCTTTGGTGGAAACATCATCAGTGGCACACAGTATGTCAGTATTTCCTACTTGGGAATCGAAAGAAGAAAAAGATGATGCGTTTAGAAAAGCTGCCTCTTTGTTTAGCCTGTAATCTTAAACCAGGGAAATTAGCAATTGATGATGTTTAATCTGTTTATACATTTAATTAGGGGAAGCAGAGTTCTTTCTTTTTTAATCTGGTATAAATATCTGGTTAATTTTTAGGATAACTGTGTTTGATACTAATTTCCCTGCTTACCCTAGTTGAGAATGATAAGTTGTAGTATGTAACACTAAAGTAGTAGTAAATACAATTTTAAAAAATAGTTGTTTTTTTTTTTTTTAACCTGCGTGTTATGAACTGCCAGGATTATTAGAAAACATTTGGTCATGAAATATGCAGGGGCCCTTCCTGCTGTCCTCCCTATAGAGTGAATTGTATATGCTGGAACAACCATCAGATGGGAATTAACCAATGTGGTAGCTGTTAGTAAATGACACCTGTTCTCATTACTGGGAGTCTAACAATCAGTGGTTCCTAACTGTAGCTAGTTCTCCTTGCCCTAGTCAGGAATTTCAGGTTCAGGAAAGGAGGCTGTGTTGAGGTGACGGGAAACTTCACATGCTTGGGTGGGTGGGCAAAATTTCTAGTTTCTTAGCATATTCTGCCTGTTTCTGTCAGGCTCTGGTGGATTGTTTATAATTTTTGAGGGCCTTTAACCATGTATAAAGAAATTATGTAGAAGTATAAAATATTTTTGTTCTTAAGTGATTGCATGTGTCAGCCCTTTTCTATTCTGTTAAAAAAAAAGTAAACATTTTTAATTTATAAAAGTCTTAAATGTAGAAAGTGTAAATCCTTTGTAATCCTGCTTCCCAGAGATAACCACTATTAATGCTTTGCTGCATATTTTTCCATTTTATATTTTATCTATACTGAAAATACAGTAATCTGAGAATTTAAGAATATGATCATTTATTTTGAGTAAAATTAGTCTCCTTAGTTTTCTCAGATGGGACATAGTCTTACCTCCTTATTTATTTACTAGTAAGTGTTCTCTTTCTTCTCAGATGGTCCTTTCTACAAGGACATATTTCAGGCCTTCAGGTCTTAGGTGGTCTGGAGTGTGTGCCCTCTGGCCACCCTTGTATTACAGCCCTTGATGCACTTAGTTGTAAGAGCCCTTGTGTGCCTGACCTCCCCAGCTATTTCTATGAGGGCAGAGATGGGGCCCACCGTGTTTACTACTGTAATCTAAGCTGGCATAAGCTAGTTAGGCTTAGTGGTGAACAAAAACACATGTTATATGGCAGCAATAGAAATTAATTAAAAACTCAAATACATTGATATTTAGCAAGTAATGAATTATTATCTTTTATTTTTCAGCTAGCGAGCCAGCACCCCAGGCGCCTGCACCTTCCTTTCCAATACAAAAGATGCATTTAGATGAAAGAGAAGAGTTTGGCCCACGGCTGCCTCCTGTCTTCTGCCCCAGTGCGTCAAGAGCTCCTTGGTTATTCTTTTTGCATCAGAACTAGTTCTTCTCTGAGATAGAAAATCCACGCATCTCATTTCAATAGGAGGCCAACCAAATATAAATATTTATTTCTGGTTTATCTGTTTGTAGCCACATTTTGAAACCTCTTGCCTCTACCTCTCAAAACTGAGACTCACTGCCATTGAGTTGATTCTGACACATAGCAACCCCCATTGGGTTTCCGAGGTAGTAAATCTTATGGAAGTAGATTGCCCAGTTTTCCTTCTGTGGAGTGGCTGGTGGGTTTGAACCACTAACTTTCTGGTTAGCAGTCAAATGCCTTAGGCACTAATGCCTAAATAATAATTTTTGCTTTACATCCTCGGAGACCTTTAATAAGTTTTTTCTTTTTTTTTTTAACTTTCAGGTGTTTAGAATAGGTTCCTAATGTGTCATAAATTTATTCCATCTTTGTTTTAGATGCTCGTCAGAAACTTGAAATACCTCCAAAGGAGAAACATAGAAAGAACAAAGAAAAACGCAAAACTAAGAAAGAGCACAGACGGAAGAAGGATAAGGTGAGTGACTTGTGGATGTCCTAAGATTGTTGTATGAGATCTGATATACTTCCTTCTGTCTTCCAGATAAGCTCCCAGGAATTATAGCCACGTGGAGAGAGATCTTTTATTTTATTTTATATTTTTGCAGTGTTTCCTCCCTTTCCCTCCTACTCCTGGTAACCAACAAAGAAAGTTTCCTTCCATATATAAACCATTCCTTGACTTTTTACAATAATGAACTAATACTATATTTGTCCTTCTGTGATTGACTTATTTCATTCAGCATAATAACCTCCAGGTTCATGTACATTATGTGATGTTTCACAGATTCTACATTATTATTCTTTAGTGTTGCATGGTATTCCACTGTGTGTATATACCATAGTTCACTTATCCATTCTTCTGTTGATGGGCGCCTAGGTTGTTTCCATCTTTTTGCTATTGTAAATATTGCTGCAATGAACATGGGTGTGCATTTATCTGTTCTTATCCTGGCTCTCACTTCTTTAGAATATATACCTAGTAATGAGATTGCTGGATCAATTGGTATTTCTAGTTCCAACTTTTGAAGGAATCACCATACTGTTTTCCCCAGTGATTGTATTATTTTATAGTCCCACCAGCAGTGTATGAGAATCCCAATTTCTCCATATCCTGGCCAGCATTTGTTATTTTCTGTCCTGTTGAACTTTGCTATTAGTGCTGGGGCAAGATGGTATCTCATTGTTTTGATTTGCATCTCTCTAATGGCTAATGATCATGAACATTTCTTCATGTGTTTGATGGCTGCCTGAATATCCTCTTTGGTGAAGTGTCTATTTATGTCTTCTGCCCATTTTTGAATTGGATTGTTTGTCTTTTTATTGGTGAGATGTTGGAATATTCTGTAAATTTTAAAGTCCCTCATCAGATATGTCATTGATGAATATTTTTTTCCCAATCTGTAGGTTCTCTTTTGACTCTTTTGGAGAAGTCTTTGGATGCACGTAAAAATTTGATTTTTAGAAG